GCATGTTATCACTGTGCCCGTTTTTTGCTTTTATTCTTTGTTCCGCAAAGTGCGCTCTTTTAGTTTGTAGTGATGTGACAATATATATAGATATAGATATAGATATAAAAAAGAACTCCTGCTGCTGCGTTCTATTCTGTGGATGCTTTATAAGATGTGGTCATGTGCCAATGATCAATCAAATCTGTGTTCTCCATAGGACCCTTTGTGATGTCTGGCATCAATCACTACTATGGTCCCTCTGTCACCCCCAGTGTTTGCACTCACAAGCTGCTAACTCCTGCAATTAACCATGATGAGTGCCAATGGCAGAAGAAGTTGTTCAGGTGAAGCGGAAAGAAGGGGGTTCCAGCTTGTCACATCTCGTCTCTCCGGTGTGCTCGCCTTCACTGCACTTGATTTCCTTTCTCGTGCAATTGTGGCATTGAATGCTCCATTGCTGCATCATTTCTCCTGCTGCTGCGTTCTATTCTGTGGGTGCTTTATGAGATGTGGTCGTGTGCCAACAAAACTCACAAGCTGGTAACTCCAGCAATTAACCATGATGAGTGCCAACGGCAGAAGAAGTTCAGGTGAAGCGGAAAGAAGGGGGTTCCAGCTTGTCACATCTCGTCTCTCCGGTGTGCTCATCTTCACTGCAGTTGATTTCCTTTCTTGTGCAATTGTGGCATTGAATGCTCCATTGCTGCATCATTTACTTTCAGTGATTGAAAAGTGGTGGCTCTTGGTGATGCGTCAGTTTGTTTAGAATGCTACTAGTGGGCCAGCCAGGGTCCCCACAACAGAGAGAGTGGTTGAAATTGGTTTGTCTGTATTCCTTGTGCACGCACGCACGCATGCCCGCCCGACCGACCGCCCGACCCCCTGCACGCCCGCATGCGCGGTATGCACACCCGCCCGCACACATGCACGCACACTTTTTGTGTGGTTTATCGGGATCATTATTCCTTTGTAAGTTGCTGTATTAATATACTTGCTGAACCATTACGCAAAAGGTACGCCGTTAAACCACAAGTACCTTTCCCCGCTTGACAAACAAATATGCGGCTCGTATACGGCTGCAACATTCCGCGGTCGAGGTACCGGACCAAGCGATGACGGGCAGCACCAGCCAAAATGAGGCCCGCACCGGTTCATCTTTCTTTGCCACGCAGGGCATTGTCAGGCTCGGCTTCAATAGCTGGGTAATGTAATGATGGTTTAACCTTTGCAGATCCATCATCCATTGATTGATGATGCATCTTTCAGCCTTCAACTGATTGCTTGCATCGGGTTTGAGTTCTTCTATTTCGCTCCCTTTCTTAAGGTTCTTTTCACCTTTCCCTCACGATACTTGTACACTATCGGTCACTGAGAAATACTTAGTCTTAGAGGGTGGTCCCCCACAGAATTCAAACATGGCACGCACGTTTTATTTCTTGAAATGAAAACCATTGGACAAAATATACAGGGTTATCACCTTCTCTGGCAGGACTTCTCAATATTTTCTAATTTGCTTGTATGGTATTTAGAGCCTAATCCGCATTTGCACACCACTACTAACGGAGTCTCGGTTTTTGCTGCAGGAGGTCTAAATCATAGAATGCTTTGTTTTCTGCCACTTGCATATAATCTCAGCCTGAATCAATGACCTTGTAGCCGCCCAAACGCTCTCTCTTGGAGTGGAGAGGGCTTCAAGAGTTCTGCATCACGTCTCCTTCCATATGGAGATGATCGTACCGAACCACAGTGCTATTTCATCCTAGCAAAGCATTAACGGGATCTTTTCAAGCACAAACATAGCACCAGGGCCTAGCCCTGAGTTTAAGTAGTTTGCCAAGCTGCTCGGTTTCTTTTCCCATCCTTGTTCGAGCCTACTTGATTTGATGGTGGGGAATCCTCTGTTCTAAGGCTTTCCTTCCATCAGTTAAGAGATCCTTACCAAAGAGTGGCTGTCTGAGGACTTCTCTCCTTGTTGTCGGTGTTTCTTATCTTATCTCTAGAATATTCCCTCCAGGTTTTTATGAGTGTGATCCAGTGCTTGCTTCGTATTGGTCTATCCGCCTGTTGCTGAACCTGTCATGATAAGAGATATGTTGATCTCACTCATCTTGCCTCACTGAGTCTTACAATGTTCACTTTCATGTATGCACACAGGTAGCTTGACCTTTGCAAATCGAGACTTGAGGCTCAAGGTTGAAGCCATACTCATTCAAGGAGGGAAATTGGAGATAGGCACAAGGGAGAAACCGTTCACAAGGAATGCTGTGATTGATCTTACTTCAAGCCGTAGGGGCACAAATTTTCCTATCTCAAATAATCTGAACTTCGGAAGAAGTGTAAGTCTTAACTTGAAGACCATCCACGTGACCCCGCCCCTCTTCTCTCTCTGCAGCCTTATGTTCGTGCTACATGCCTGTTGCCAGTTTCAAGGGTGCCAGACCTTCTGAAAATAGGACTGCATTTACCCAAACTGATTGGAAAGTCCTCCATAGCAGTGGACATATTCTGGCAAGTGTTTAAAACATGCAACGTTAGAAAAGTTCAGCAAAAGGTAAAAGTTGACATTTGGTGGATACCGACATGCCCGTCTGGTATGGAAGCCAGTGTCTCTGGACTCTGCTTCCTGACCTGTCTCACAGACTCCGGAATCAGTCTAACCCAGCGTTGAATCAGGCAGTTAAAGGCTTGGGAAACCAGAGAAAGTTTTTTTTTGTTTTTGTTTTTTGGGGGGGGGGGGGGGGGGGGGSGATGAGGAAATAATTTTGTCTGCTGTCATCAGTCAGGCTCTGCTTCAGTTTGCAGGAAAGAAGAACACCACAGGGAAGTATTGTCAGCTGCTGCAAAAACTTTGGTAGACCATGCTGAATGTGGTCGAAAGGCGGGTCATCCAGTGGATATAAGAGAACCTCTGACATGTGGGAAAAGAAGTTTGATTATGCTTTGCAGTGATGTCCTCAGAAGCTCTCATAGTATGATGTATCTACGTTGCCAGTATATGGCTGCATGAGCTAACGCCATTGTCCTCTCGTTTTCATTTTGCATTTGAATGATGTGACTAATGATCTGCATGTAGTTCATCGGCGTATTGGGTGAGCTGTCCATTCACGGCGTCCCTTGTGAACCTCGCTGGGCAAAAGTGGCATCTCATAATGGCAATACCATTGGTGTAGATGGGAACATCTCCACATGGATGGAGGGGAGCTCTGTCCTGTTGACCTCGTCAAGATGGAATCCTGATGAAGCGGAGGTTTCAGCAATCAAGTCGATCTCTGGCAACACCATATCTCTGCATGACTCATTGCCATTGAACTTCACACACTCACCAAGATTTGTCCAACTTCCGGATGGTGGCAGAACCATAAGTGTTGGCTCAGAGGTAATTATGTTCTCCACTCAACCGGAATGAGTTGGGCAGTGGAAGGGGAGAGATGGGTCGTCTGCACCTGTAAAATGCCATTTGCACCAGACCCGATTCCAAACATCACGGTGTAGTGCTTGCAGATTGGCCTCGATGAAACTGATAAGAAAAGATCTACTGTAAAGCAACCTCAGAAACGTTCCTGTTCTCATGACAAATCAATTGATCACAGGTTGGGGCAATGGGTTTTGAGCCCGGGTTCTGCTCCAAGTGTCGCTGACACGACTCACAGACGTTAATGAGATCCTCTCCTTGTATCAGAGAATTCTTTTGTTTGTCCATTAATTCCAGATGTCTTTTTATTGTTCGTGTACTGCAAGGCAAACTGGAGTTCTTCCTTTGATTAAGGGTTTGTCTAAAGTGTGCACTTGATCCTCAGAAGTTGATGTTTGCAGAGGTTCTAGTCATTTGGTCTGGGCTTCCGATGAATGGTTGGAATCAGTGAGGGTGTCTGCCACTGTCTGGTATAATTCTCCGTAGAATATTCTGCTTGCTTCTGGTCGCTTCTAGCATACCCACTGTCAATTTCTGTTTTGGATGGACCGTCCAGTTTTTTTTCCCACAACCCTTCCTATGGTACTAGATCTGGGGTTGGGATTCAGTTGGTACACCCACAAACTGTTGAAATGCAGACCTAAGTTCTATTCCAGATGGAACCAGATGAACAAAATTCCTGAATTACCCTGGGCTGGTCAGTTTCACAATGATATCTCAAGGCTGCCGCCTTCAAAAAAAAAAAAAAAATAAATAAAAAAAAAAAATGGTCGGTCATCCTGGCTCTGATTTGAAAGTTATTTAGTTCCAACTTCCCAGTCTATACAAGGTGAATTCTTCCCTTGATTGTTGAAACACCTCTAAGAACAGAATGGATGATGGGTCGGTGGCTACCTTCTTCCCCCGAATACAACTTACGGTCATTATAGCTGTGTATCTAGACTGAAAGATGCCTCAAATACACAGCTATAATGACTGTATGTTGTATTGGGGGGAAGAAGGTAGGTTAGTTTCGGCTTTTTTTAGTGTTGCCTCTAATGCTTGTTTCCAGAGTTATGGATCGCAGGCCAGTTTCCTTAAGATTCTTGATCGTGTTTTTTTATGATAATCACAAGTAGCTTTTATGGAACCAAGTACATATGTCTTGGGTTGTTGAGAACTCACCCCTGCCTATCATTGAACCTTGCCTGGAAATATTGGTTAAGGAGTCACCTGGGAATTGTTGAGCTTGAGAAGCTTAAGCCTTTTCTAAAGGAGAACTTTTTATGGGCTAAAGTTCGAAGTAGTCATAATTTCTACTATGTCTGTGACTGGGTCCCATCAACTCCTCCTTTATACCAGTACTGGCCTGGTCTAGACCTGAGTAGGGGGCCATAGGCAAGATATCTGCTCCTTGACTGTTCCCATGAGTACTTTCAGGGAGAAGAAAGTAGTCAATCCGTGAGAATGCTGTGCGATGGGTGTCATTTTTCTTAACGAATACGTAGGCTTTCCTATTTGGATGGAGCAACGAGACTGTCGTCTATATTAATCTGGGTGGGCACAGCTTCCTAGATGATTGGAACGTGGTTGACCTGCACACACGATTGTTAGTTCAGTTAGTGTGTTCCGTTGCAATCCCCTACATGTGCTTCCTAAAAGAGAGAAGAATACAATGGAGCGAGTCCGTGAGGGTCCTGTTGAAGAAAAAGGAAAATTTTAAATTTGCCAATTTGGTAAATGTGTACAAGATTAGGGTGTGTGCTCTCCCAGCCAAGCAGAATGTCAAATTCCAATATCTTGGTCTACAATTGTGGTTGTGGCAACAACTGGTAGATTGGAGTGCTGTCAAGCAATGTGGTGATAATGAGCGATTCAACAAGGGATCGATTTGGATGCAAGATACATGTAGGTCGATGGGGTGATTACAAGGCATCAGCAAAGGTACGTCTTCCTTCCTCGCTTTGAGCTTCTTTGTGTTATTTTGTACTTTTTTTTAACGTATGAGCACACCCAAGCTCTCTACTACCTTCTCCCCTGCTTCCCTGATGCTGTGCTATCCTGCCAGAGGACTGCAGAGCACTGTGGTGGATCCAGTGCTGGTTGATGTCCAAGGGTGTGTCCTGTGGTTCAAAGGAAGGGAGAACGAGAGATGGTCCACAGTGGTGAAGAATGTGTTCCTGGCAACGCAGTGTCTGTAATAATATCTGAGGGCATTTCTGCAGGTTGCTTGGGATCCTTGCACACAACAAGAGCATCGGCCATTTTTCTGCTGGGATTCTGACTATGAAGGTGTCCTGCGTGGCCACACGTACCT